AATGTTTTTTGCCCGACGTCTGTGGGTTTAGACGTCGCGTGGAACAATGTTTTTTGCTTGACGTCTGTGGGTTTAGACGTCGCGTGGAACAATGTTTTTGTCGACGTCTTGTGGTTTAGGCGTCGCGTGGAACAATGTTTTTTGCATAGGATCGTCTGGGTTTAGGCGTTCGCGTGGAACAAGTCCTGTGTTTTGCCTGACGTCTGTGGTTTAGACGTCGCGTGGAACATGTTTTTTTGCTGACGTTTGGGTTTGCCCTTTTTGCCCGACGTCTGTGGGTTTAGGCTTCGCGTGGAACAATGTTTTTTGCCCGACGTCATGTAGGTTAGACGTCGCGTGGAACAATGTTTTTTGTCCGACGTCTGTGGGTTTAGGCGTCGCGTGGAAACAATGTTTTTTGCCCGACGTCTGTGGGTTTAGACGTCGCGTGGAACAATGTTTTTGCCCGACGTCTGTGGGTTTAGGCGTTCGCGTGGAACAATGTTTTTTGCCCGACGTCTGTGGGTTTAGACGTCGCGTGGAACAATGTTTTTTACGTCTGTTGTGGTTTAGACGTCGGTGGAACAATGTTTTTGCCCGATGGTGGGTTTAGACGTCCTGTGACCCCGACGGTTCTACTCGGGAGGCGTCCGTTCTGGCCCAGTGGTTCTCCCAACTCCCCCGGATGAGACGTCCTGTGCCAGTGGTCCCAACGTCCCGGTGTCCTGTGCCCAGTGGTTCTCCCAACGTCCCCGGATAAGACGTCCTGTGCCCAGTGGTTCTCCCAACGTCCCCGGGTGAGACGTCCTGTGCCCAGTGGTTCTCGTAACGTCCCCGGATAAGACGTCCTGTGCCCAGTGGTTCTCGTAACGGGATGAGGTGAACCATGAACCGAAAGATGCTTAGGAAATAAAATCAGTGAGGCGGGTTTTCGAGCTCAGCAGCGCCAACCCGTCGGAACATGTCGTGAACGTGTTTCCATGCAGAGTGTGGATCTGTGAATGTGTTCTCTTTGATGTTGTTATTATCATAATGATCATCACAATCATATCATTCTTAATATCATTGCTATTATGAATATTACTATTATTGGTATGAATACAGCTAACGCAATGATAATAATTATTACTATGGTGATGATGACGATGTTGATGATGGTAATAATGATGATGATGATGATGATGATTAAGATGACTGTGATGATGATGATAATAATAATGATAATGATAATAATAATAATGATAATAATAATAATAATGATAATGACAATAATAATAATAATAATGATAATAATAATAATAATGATAGTGATAATGATTATCAATGGTTCTGGTTGTTTTATCATAATTATTAATACCATCACAATCTCTCAAGATTATTACTATTGTTATCATTGCGAACACCATCTTTATTATTGTTATTCCCATCCTGTACGACGAGAAAATCCCAAAATTTCTGTATTTTTGTCAGCAATCCTGTGGGCGGCACCGCTTAATTAAGTGAGACATAACCAATATGCTGTGTACAAAAGAGAAGCGTGCTTGCTTTTATTTTTCCGTCCATGTCCCTCCAGTGTGTGGGTTCATTTTCCCTTCCGTGCTTCAAATAAATATGTGTTGTTTGTGTTTGTTTGGTTTCTGTTTGTCTGTCTGTCTGGCTGGCTCTCTCTGTCTGTCTGGGTCTTTCTCTCTTGCTCTGTCTGTCTGATTCGTACTTTCTCTCTCTTCTCTTCTTCTCTCTCCTCTCTTCTCTCTCTCTCTTCTCTCTCTCTCTCTCTCTCTCTCTCTCTCTCTCTCTCTCTCTCTCTCTCTCTCTCTCTCTCTCTCTCTCTCTCTCTCTCTCCCTTTCTCTTTCTCTCTCTCTCTCTCTCTCTCTCTCTCTCTCTCTCTCTCTCTGTACTGTCTTCTCTGACTCTCTCTCTCTCTCTCTTCTCATCTCTCTCTCCTCTCTCTCTCTCTTCTCTCTCTCTCTCTCTCTCTCTCTCGTCTCTCTCTTTCTCTCTCTCTCTCTCTCTTTCGCGTCTCTCGGAATATCCTTATAGAATCATTTATCAGGGAATGAAAAACGAAGTCTTCAGAATTTCGCCGCAAAACAAAGCCCGTGTCTGGGGTGGGAAATGTGTCGTCACAAAACCACTTTTGGAATAACTTTCTTTTCTCGAAGTTTATGCGAGGACCTCTATTAAGGCGAGTGGCTGTGCTCCGTGGTCTTGCACCCGAACGGATCCTTGTGTGAACTGCGACCGTTTTTTATGAGAAGCAATTTTCTGCTTCGAAAGGCGGCGTTGTGAGTGAAAATTGTTTGTAGATCATATGTATGACAGGTTTATTTATTGTCAGGTTTACCAG